TACTGAAGAAATAAAAAAAACATGATTTTGTCGTTTAATTTTTTAATTAAACGTATTTTTTCATTTATTACAATAAATTTAAAACAATTTAAGTGTTAAAAATAGTGTGCTACAATATTTTAATTCATTTCATTATTTCATTGCTATGTTATAATTACCGAAGTTAAAAAAATTGTTTCAAGTTAAAAAAAATGTGCCAATTATTTTCAACATTGCATGTATAATGTATTGATTATTAAAAATAATTTTCGCAATGCTATAGTTACAAAACGACAAGGGCAAAAATCTGTATTCTTAGCACGAGGTTTTGTTTTTCACTTCAATCGTCGTACATAAGATTTACACGATGGAAAACTTTCAAAATCTCTGTTAAAGTAGGCGCTTTACTTTTACAACGTATGTAGGTATCTATCTGACCGTGACGATCGCAAGAGTTCAATGCTTCCACTAAAGAAATTTTCTCTTCAAAATAATGGCAATAATAAACTATTAATACTCGTAGCTTCCAATACGAGGCTTTCGTTAGAAACAAAATATTCGAACATAAACTTGCTTTTATGATTAAAATTTAAATTTCAAACAGATATTTTTAAATACGGTAGCTTTTTAGTATAATTGTAAGTAGAGTTGTTTTATCTGAATCATTTATCTGTTTTTCATATTATGTTCAATTAAAAACTTTGTTTGACGAGATTTTTAAGTATTACAATAATTAAAAGAATTTGGCGGATATTATGTAATCAGTTCTAATTTGTTGACTTAGAAAGTTACATAAAACTTAATTAACATTTACTACGTACTAAATTACGTATTTCCTTACCTTCCTTAAGTTCTTTTCTTTCTTTTTAATATATATTAAAAAATATATTCTCATAGACTTGTTTAGTATTATTTCTTTACAGTTAATTAAAGTTTAAAAGTGTTAGTAGACCGTATCTCCAATAAAAAGTCTAACAAAATGTCCTTGACCCTGTTTATATGGATAATTGAATCTGAAATTGTTTTAGAAATCAAAGTAATTTTGATGAATGACTGACATGAGTAAAAAAATATTCTATATTAAATAAACCTACGTTAAAATAGTTTACTTTATTACGAATATTATTTAATGAAAACTCTTAATGTGTCAATACAAAACTTGTGATAGCTATAGTGTCTACAATTATTATTATCCCGAAATTAGGATTTCATATATACAACATAGTACCTAGTTGATAAATGTTGTAAGTAATTTTTAAATGTTCTTTTATGAGACAAATGCTTTACAAATAATTTTCCATAAATCACTCAGATCACTTCTAACTCACTGTAGACTAGTGCTATTTAAAATGATCTATAAAAAGATCTGTATAAATGTTACTCGCAAAGGCTATAATATCGTGCGCATAAGAACAATAATCATACTTGGATACAATGAAAGTCTATGGAGTTTCCTATCACAACTTGGCCTAGACTTTATTGATCTCTCATAGTGTGTGTGGGAGACAGAATTATAAAATAATTATAATATGTACTTAAGGGAAGTTAATTTCTTTATATTAATTTATTCTTTTCCTTACGGTTCTTTTAAATACGAATTTTATTCTATTTTTTTTTGTTTGTGTGAAGAATACACAAAAAAAAACTAATATTCGTTTTCAATATTTATAATTGGTTTTCAAGTTATAAATATCCTGTGTTTGTTTCATTTTTTTATTACCAGATATTTGCATTGTGCACACATTTTTTCGATTTGGCTGTGGCTGTCTATTTCATATTTTATTCATATTCATCTTTTCATTTCATTATTCATCTATTTCATATTCCTTGTTTCATTTGACAGTGTCACCGGGAGAGCGGATTGTCTGATTGGGACCTACCCTTGAAATACGGGCCTGGAGAGCCTGAGGTGGTAACGTTCCACTGAGGCCCTAAGAGGCCGGACCTCGTCTTGGATTGACGTGGACTAGTGGTTGGCATGGTGAGATATGATAATATGAAGTTATGCCAGACTTTGACGAACGTTTTCGATACATTGAAGAAGATTGCACTCGTCATATGAGGGAATTTACTACAAAGTCTTTGGATAATATCTTCAGTTAAGTAGTATATTGGCTTGACTGTTTTGTGTTTGGTTCTGGAGCCAAAGTAAAGGTGGTGCTCTTCGTGCTTTAAATTATATCGCTTAACTTGTTTTAAAAGTGAATCTTTTATTATTATGCCTTTAATTTTGTTACACTTCTGACGCATATCCCATTTTCAGGGTTCGTGAATAGATGTATAATCTCTCGGCAGAACTCGGCTGGCCTCGTATCAGAAGACAAGGATGTATGCAGGATGTGTGCTCTTTCTAATTAGTGCAAGCGTTTCGCGGTATTCGTGTGTGTTGTTTCAAATAAATAATGTGGACATTTTGAACTTACATTACATCTATAAACGGAATGCTATGTCAATGTATGTTTATTGTGAATCCAGTGTTGAGATGTAAATTATAAATTTATATTCGTCTGAGGTGTGAAGTTAAAATTTTATGCCTGTATATCTCAAATTTTAACTGGCATCGATATTTAGTAACAACAATGTGCACTTTTTTATTTTGGAAACGAACAGACGAGATATACATATATGTATATTTCTTTTTACAGAAAGATAGAGGTTCTGTATACCTGTATCTGTATAGAAAGATTAGATTATCACTTTTTCAATCTTTGTTATATATAATTTATACTATAATATATTTTGTATTACCCTCATAACTTGTTTTTAATTATATTATTCGATGAAATTATTGTTAAGACCATTCGCTTTTTAAATATTATTTTCTTAGGACGCAGTTGCAAGTTGCAAAACTATTGTCGACGGAAGCTACTTGACGAAATGCAGCGCATGAAGTGTGAAGGACAACCAACGATCCGGTTTTCATTGTTACATGTTCTATTATTTGTTTTTCAGTATAGATTAAAGTAATTATTGCAAAAAGTTATTTTGAATGAGTACTTTTAGTTATTATTTTTAAGTTATATATATTAAAAAAATATATAATCTAATAACTTACATCCATCTCATTGCAATATAACAATATCTGAATTGTATGCAACTTAATATATATTCATTTTTTTATAAAAGCGCCATCTGTTATTTAGTGTTAAAATCTTCTTTGTTGACGATGACATTTTAAAATAACTTTTACATCAGTTTCTAGATGACGTCGTAATTAAGTATTAACCATTGCTGAAGGCTACCTAGTAATACTTGAGATAGGCATTTACGTAATATTCGATTTCTTGACAATCTATTCATCAGATTCTCGCTACAATCTCAGGACTACCTCAGGACAATGCTTTTGCTATAAGTATATATATATTTGAATTAGTCTATATATAAACGAGTATTAGATTAACAAACTTACCGCTGAATTCACAATTTCCTCTCTTTTGAAGACGTTCATAAAGCGGTGCAAATATTCCAGATTTAAGAGAAAACAAACATACATTGAGAGAGAGACACACAAAAAAAAATGATTTTTAATGTAGGCTTACTTTATACTTTTATATTTGTTTCAAAAGAATCTTTTGATTTCAAAAGGGGAGCAGCCTTTTTTTAATAGTGTTGATTACTATTTAAATTATTTTTTATGTTGCTAATTTTTAAACTAGTGTTTTAATGAGAGTGTGTATATAATTTAACATTAACATTCTTTCTTATAAAAATTATTTTTCAACAACACTTCAAAAGCGCCATCTGTTGCAACAAAATGTTATTGAAACAATGTATTACTTCTATTCCGTACAAGATGGCTCTGAGGGATCGTAGCGCCATCTTGTGTAATTTGTCTCATTTTTAAGCATCAACACAGGTTCCACTACTTTTCCTATTGGAGAAGAGATGGAGCTGCTATCTCCATATGCTTTGTTTCATATGTATTTATTTGTTAACAGTTTATATATATCTTATAAAAAATAAGTGAATATATTAGTCGTCCCTGCCAAACATATTAAATACAATCGTATACATATTAAATAAATTGATAATAGCAATCTTTATTCCTCAAATAATCCTTGAAAAAGTAATATTTAGTTTTATGAAAATGGCTAGTACGTGTTATCGGTCCAGGTTATTAACAATTAAAGCGTGAGCAAAGTAAAATTTAAACAATACGAGTACATACTATCAAACAAGGTAAAAATAATGTTCTATGTCTGGATATTTTGCTTCAGAATTTTATTTAGTTTATTTCATACTTACCATAGTAAAACATTTTTACAGCTACTAAAATATTTATGTAAAATCAAATATCCTCTCTAGATTAATGGAAATATATTTTTTAATATAAAATATTTGAAAATATTTTTTTTTAACTTGTGAGAGACATTTGTTTTTTTTTTTTCGGATATCCTTTAAATGAATAAAATTCAATCAAACAACAACACATTTTTATCCATATTTTATTCATTATTAAGTCTGATTTTAATTTATCTGTAGTAACAATTTTATAAAAATACTGTAAAGCTATATACAAAATGTCGTAGACATTTACATGGTATCAGTTCGTTCATTACAAACTAACGGCACAATTTTAGTACATAGTACAACATTTAAATAAGCACCTTATATAAATAAGCTAAAAGTCTTTCATTATAGAACGGCTCTTAAAGCCCACTAGTAATACTTACTGAGATTAAGTAATAGAAAATATCAATAATAATACATCACGAAGCTAAAGGAATAAATATCAGTTAAAATAAATATCAAGAAGATAAATAATAAAAGGCAGACAGCGCAACTTAAGTACGAAGAGACGTGTAGAGGAACTTACGAAATAATATTCAATAAATTAATATTAACTAACTAAAATACTTAATATCACAGAGTGTATACCCATTTCTTATTCAACGAAACGTATCGTCAAGCAATTAACGTCTCAATATTTAGAGAGCGAATTAATTATTCTAACAATAAATAAGTACGAGCTACAAACGGGCACCAATATATATAAATCACACAATTTACGATAGTTACTTTCATCTCATCATTGACACGTTATTTCTATTGTTCTTGCCGCGTTTGTTATCGAGCTTCTGTTTCATTTTTGAGTGGAAGAAAGCACATTTCTTATCACCTTTCTTGCTCAACGGACATCTGAATTCTGAATACCAGTTGTTCAGGAAGTTTCCATAGCCTCTGAACGCGATGTAATCATTCTTGATGCACTGCGTCGCGTCAACTTTTCTATCGAGAGTGTCTAATTTCATTCTGTTAACATCGAAACGTGGTACCGGCATGTTAACTTCTATCATACTTTCTTCTATCTCAGCGATGGTGCTGGCTAACTTGTTTAATGTGTTCGTAAGCAGTCTAGTTCGTACTATTATATAGTTTGTGAAAGGTTCGTCGTAGAAATCCAGTTGAACATTCAATAGTATCTTGAAAATCACCTCGTACTCCTTCAGAGTCTTGTATAGTTTCGGCATTAAGTACGTGAACTGTAACAAAAAAAATTGAACATAAGTATCGAATTAAAATTAAATTAATCCTTAGTAATTTCGATTACAGATTGCGTGAAGATATGTAACTTAGAATTAATATAGCATTTATATTGCTAAGTTGCGACGCAGCCAATTTGTGTCGAGGCTGCATTAAATATATATAAGTATTTGTGACTGTATAAATCATTTAACTATTATTGTCATTAAGAGTCGTGTACAAGTGTCAATATTAATTCTTATATTAGGATAGGTTCCAATGATATGTGTGGAGGAAAAATTCTAACATTTTTTTCTATGAACGTTGCGATTATGTCATTGTGACCGCGGTTCGATGAAGAATGTGTCTATATATTAGCATTTCTTTATGACGTCAATGAGAAATATTTATTAATCTTAATGAGAATGTTTATTATTTAGAACTTCGTTGTTATGTAATAGAAACTTTGTATTGTTTTTTGACGTGATCTTTTCCGATAAATGTTTATAATTTAATAATTAATCTACTACATAAATGAAATATTGCTTGTTATTGGGATTTAATAAATAATACCTAACATATACCAAAGTAAATAATTCTAATGAGAGAAAATTGATCATCGTAATAAATATTGTGAAATATTCTTTGTTTTTACATAAATATTCAGGTTATAGGTTATCAGGGAATTCTTATAATTGATAAAACAAATAAAAGCAAAAATATATTTCTCGCTTCACTTGTTTCACGTTATTGGTATAACATATTCGTGAAATTCTTATCAATGCATTATGTCATCAACTGAAAACTTGAGCCGAGCGGATGAGTGATTCAGGAAAACATACTGAATGAATGTTAAATCATGGTTCCAAGAACATTAATATGTTCAGTCACTTGTAATTATTAGCGTAAATCATATCGGAATTACTCTGAAACACTTAGGATTATGAATGATCTGACTCATGAAGACATTGACGCTTCCGAATCACTTGAATAGAACATTAATTAATATCACTTACTTAGTCAACGTCTCTTGTGTCATACGCTAAACAATTGATATTAAATTTTACAGTAAAACCTTCAAGTCGTAAAACACTTGGTAAAGGGTAAGCATCTTTTCCATTGTGATCGAACGTTGAAATCGCAGACGATAATAAAAGCGCGCGCTCTGTTAGCAAACATGGCGGAATATTAAAACTGAAAAGCCGACAATAAGCCGTACATTAGCCTTAAAGAGCTAAGCCTAACCCGTGGTACGTGTTGGAGACAAACGCGTCGCGTCTGAATTGTAAGTTAACATTCGTCTCACTTGGACAAATAATGTGTTTTTAACATTTCGTGTTGTTTTGTTAAATCGTAAATACTGAGCAAACACTAACATCGAGTCGGACGTGGACGGTCAGTGAGAAAGTGTCCAAGTTAATCTGTGGAATGTATTGACTACAGTCTCACATGAGAACTCTTTATATATTAATACTTTGTATCAAAATAACTGCGGAATGTCTTTTTGTTTTTGGGTTAAAAAAAGAAATATCTTATAAGTGTATTTTAATATGAACTCAAAAAATATTCTTAATTTATTTAGTGAATGTATAATACTTATATACTTGAATATATAAATATATTGAAACATATTGATATCTATGTCACTGTAGACTGTCCACACTATGCTTTAGTTAGAACCTCTCCAATGTTTTAACATCTCATTTAAGCGTTATTTAATTTTTAAATTGTTCGTAAGTCAACTAAGCCCGAGCGGAGACGAGATCACTTGAATTCTAACGCTTTCTTTGCCCAAAGTTCAATATTTGAATATCTTAAGTGGATATGCATTGACGAACTGTCGAAATATACACAAGAGATATTTAATATTCATTAACATGGATACTGGGCGACAGTCGCTAGAAAATAACCAAGTGTTCGAGGGCCCTTAGCTAAGGACATCGGTCATAACATTTGGAAGCGCATTGTTCCTCGCATTAACTTTTGTGTACTAATTAGTGGGTGTCCAATATGAATACTCAATAGAAAGTCTCGCTCCAAATGTGTGTTCGGCAAATAATAAGAGATTTGTATATCCGTTATGAAGATAGACATTTTGTATCTTAAGCAGAGGCGGCTTGTAAAATAAATTTTATAAACATTCGTATTAATGCATAGCTGTTCAATTGAATTATCTGTTAAATGGAGCGGTCAGAAAATACATTGTTTTTACTGACGAAAATTATTTAAATTTAGGTTATAAGTAATATGGTAATACGTGAATCTAATAAAGCATATTTTTAAAGGCTAGGTGGCCCTGTTGAATGCGTCTTAACCGTTCATTTAAGATTGCGTGCGCAAGGCGGAATCTGTCGGTATCCATCTATGCAAATTTCTTCGAAACATTTAACTGGATCCTTGGTTTGTTTCGCTCCCACTGAGACCAAAACAAAAGTCAGACTCACTTAAGTTTATTATTTATTTTATTTTTAATAATATTTACATTGGAAGAGGACACACGTCTCAAATTCAGTTTTGTTCACGATTTTAATTACGTTTCTTTGATATTGTTTTTGAAAATGTTCTAAGTAATATTGTTACATTGTATTGAAAACGATTTTGTTTTATTGATAAAAATAAAAGCTTTTAGCATCGAACACTTTAATAAAGAGATATCGATGGGATAGATATAATAACTGTGTACCAAATGTTTAATAATATACTGATTTGGAAACAAAATGCGGCATCGGAAATTAAGGGTCTCTGCGCCTAGTTATTGCCCTTAAGTACAATGTGATGTAAATAAACGGGGTACAAAGACTGGGCACGTGTAATTTGGCGCGATGAAACCTTATTTAAGCTTCTACGGTCAGGTCTCGAGCATGGCTAATGTAGACGAAGATTCTTTGTCTCAAATAAAGCAAAAATAAATTAAAATAACGTAAAAACACTCAACTGAACTGAACTGAACTGGTAACAAAAAAGTGATGGGTTGGACCACCACACCCTCAAGACGCGAAATGATCGGCTACGGTAATTACACTGTCAGTCTGTTTAAAGCAAACCTCAAATATAAAAGGCGCCTACATAATAATACTTCCTAAACGACGTCTAAAAAATGATTGTTTCGTGTTTCAGACGTTAATAGATATCATACGATATTAAGAATAGTTAAATTTAGATATACCGACCTTTCGTTCTGTCATCGATCTTCCTCTTGCCGAAGTTCTATAGTCGTGGAAGTGTATATCAACAAAGCTGACCGCTGGCAGCCAGGTCGGCATACCATCACTGTACTCTCTCGTCTCGTTTAAAACCTTCCTGCCTTGATCGAAGAATCTCTTAGTGTTTCTTAACTTGTGTTTGATTTTTCTCGTAACGTTCTTGTAGCTCTCAGTGTTAGGATTCCTCGTCCGTTTGACTGATTCCTCTTTGGTTAGTTGCGTCAATCCTTCAGGTCTTCTTTGGTGCCGTCTCTTGTGCTCGATCGAGCGAGCGTCGACCGGTGTCACGAACATCGCGATTATTAAAACTACTGACACAGCCACCAATAGCCTTTTAGGAAAACCTGAAACAAATATAAAAATATTTTTATATATGTTCTGTTAAAAATACTAAATTCAAATTCCTTTGACGTAAATTTCACATAAAAAATAATAAGCTCTGTAATCATCATAAACATACAAGAGTTTACATATTGTGCTACAATCTCCATCATCAGACTACTTCTGTGCGACCATTAGTCCGATGTGATCGGACGTGATTTTTAAAACGTCTTGAGCGAACGAGTTTTTTTTGATGTTGAATATTGAGAGACTTTTTATATTGTGTATTAAGTTTTCGAAACCTTATTGTTAAAAAATTATATACGTTTCCACTTAAAGTTAACGTTCGGCTTTTATTAAAGAATTGATGTTTGCGCCTGAGCCATAAAATATATTTTATGTTCGAACAGAGACTCGCAATTCTGTAGAGCGCCGCTTACGTTCCTTACAAGAGAAACACCACTGACTTTGAAACTCTTTGTATTGACTGCAAATATAGAAAGTAACCCTTTTAAATATAAATATTGAAAAAAAACTTAAAATAATATTAAAATACACTACTGTATTCAAATGAACGTATTCATAAATATATATAAGTATAACAAGAACTTCTAACACCTAGTTACGTCAATCGAGGATAAGCCGAGGTTTATGGTAAGTGAATCATTAGGTCAATTTGTGACGTTGTCAATCGAATGTGTGTTAAGTAAATGATGTAGATGAAATAAGGATAACTGTGAGCTGTTAGTTAACTGATGATTGCTAAGTTTTTCACTGTGAGTTTTTTTACTCTGTAACCATTGTTTGTGATCACTGACTTCTATATCTATATCGAATGCATTGTTGTGATCTACAACGATAATACGTTACCACGAAAACGTGTACTGTAGGCTATATTTTTCGCAATGGAATTTCCCGATTGTTTCTCGTCACACGGAATCATTATTTAACATCTCGTAATCCGTTTCAATTAAATGTGTAGCCATAAAAAGCTAATATATAATACGAGAACTAAGTTATACGTATACAATAATTAGCGGACCAAAAAAGTATGGTAGGTAATCGATCGAGTTTGGTGAGGTACTGGTAGGTATCAGATGTCATCGGATGAGTTTCAGCGAAGTCCCTTTGATTGAATGCCGACGGTTCTGTGTTGTACATTCCCACACGACTTGCTGGCTAGGCTGTATAGCCATTCTTAATTTGTATTGTTCGACACCAAAAAAAGATTCGCGGCAAATAATGATACCTCGACTCGTAACGATAAATGTTAATGTAACGGATTTGGAATTTAATATTTAATTAATTAATTATTTTTTATTTATTTTACGTGGCGATTTTATTAAATATTAATCATTGATTTTGTCATTGTTTATTATGTTTGTCATTTGTTTATGTACAAGCTAAAAAAAATTATTATACTTCTACCGTCTTATGTCAAACAATTAAGTCCGCAGGGTACCCGATCGCAAATACATAGATCGATATCCATACAAAAATTTCGAACTGAACATAAAAAATTTAACACACCAGTTAAAATGACATCCATGAACAACGCATTGATGTGGCTCCTTCGGGCAAGTTCATATTAGGCTTGTTAGCTTTCCGTATTATCGATAATATTATATCGTACACTGAACACAATCACTGAGTAAATTCACTGGTCTCGGTGCGCGATGTAGCCTCGAATGTCACCGGTGCGAGGGACCGACGCGCGGGCAGTACTCACGTTGAATGAGCGCCTAAATGCGGCACAGTACATGAAATAGCCGGTCAACCTATGCGAAAAACCCTTACGCTTGACGGAAACGGTACGACCCTGTCAAATACAAACGCCGTTATCGATACTATTTATTTTTTTATATTTCTATTTTAAATTCTAATATTATTTAATCAATTACATACTCTCAAAATTCTTTATTTTAATATATTATATAATTTCGTTCTATTGTATTTTTGTTTACATATTACGTCATATTTTTAATTATATTTTTTTCCTGTTTTTTCTAAATATACTTTTGTTTTACTAGTCAACTATGATACATACCTATGTATATAATTTTGGGTTAAGTATCCTTAATAATTTTGATTTATATATAGTATTATATATTAATTGTTGTATTTATTAACTTGTATGAACTTGTTTAGTAAAAGTTGACATGACGTCTCCACGCCATTCGCTTTCTACATCTTGCGCAAGTGTACAATTATTCGGTTAGATGGTGGTGATTCATCGATGAGTCTATCCTAAACTAACTTTTATCGGCCTTTAATCGTGTTTCATTTCATGAGTACGTAAACAACTTAGTTGTTATACTAAAGATTATGTACTGATTTGTATTATATATTGACATTTTATATAATTATTAAGTATATATATCGAAACTGCGATAAAATTATTCAATAATGACAATTGAACATTACGTATTCCTATCATTATATTGTATCGCAAAATGTTGACAGTTATTGAGTTTAATCGGTGATATCATGCGTAAGGATTGTCTGATTTATATTAAGAAGAAATAACTTACTACCTATATACATATAATAAAACGAATATTATAGTCGTAAAATAAGAGTATAATTCTTTTATTTTTTTCAACAATCGGTGTGAGCAAACACGACACGAATAAGAATCCAAGGACCAAACCCAAAGGCAGGCTATGTTAAAAAAGAAAAACATATCCGTGTATGGGAAATACTTTAACTGACACAGATAAACACACATAGATCCCTTACTACCGCAAAACTCGTGTACGACATGAAAATTAAATGTTTGAAAAATAAATTGACCCACTGCCATTTTGAGTCCCGTCTACAAACCATAAATCTAGACTGTGGTTTGTGGTGTAAGCATTTGAGCGTCCACTTGAGTATTTACACTGACACGTTTTTTGTCTCGTGGTTAACAAGGCGATGCCATTGTACTCGCCCGCTTGTTGATAGTGTCAATACATGATTATTGTACTCATGATTAATAACGTCCGAACTTATGATTTTTTTATTTCTGTTACCATAAGAATGTAGTTCATTGTGTCACAGAAACACACCGGTAATTTAATGGTAATATTATAGTTTTTTATATACAATGTAATCGTTAATTTTATCATCATCGGTAAGACGTAATGGGACATGCAATTCATAATAGGATAAATTATTATGACAAATTGATTAATAATGAGTGAATACAATTATTTTTTGCTCAGAATGCATAGTAGATTCACATCACGATTCCTTCTTGTGGCACAGCTTTCGTCAATTAACTGTTTTTATGTGTAAATCAGTTTGCAATCAGTTTAAGTAGAGGCTTTTCCGGTCGGCGATTTTGTTCAGCATTTGTATTAAATGAATGCCATTCATTCATTGTTTTTGTTTATCGGAAATGTTAAGTTTCTTATACTGAATGTGATTCCATTTGGACCGTGTAATTTATATGAGACGTCAAACTATTGAGATATAATTGTATTAGATAATTAAATGAGTTAAGCAGGATTTATGCGTCACTGAAGCATAAATTTCGTGGTTCATGTAGCTAAAGGTCGTTTTAGATGAGTCAGGGATTTTCCAAATTTTCGCGAAGACACGTCATACGGAAAGCGACTGAAAACTTACAAGAGCGGTGTCGTATCTCAAATAAACTTTCTATTACTCATATACATATTTATTATTTATTCATATTATATACATATAAAATATTGTTTAATTTTAGTTATATTAATTTGTATATTATTGAAGTGAGGATGCAAACATAGTATCTGTTAATTTAGTTTTACCGTAAATCGGCAACGGCTTCCGAGCCTCGAGCATATTGTTCCCGCCACAAAATAAATCACGCTTGAGCCGTACATAATTCTAACTTATTTACCCTTAACCCCACAGACTATGAAACTGTCAGCGAATTCCAAGCGAAATATTGCAATGTCCTACTACTTTATGAATGAATAATTGTAGGATGTTCGGGTCAAGTTTATTGTGAACTGAGTTTCACTTATATTGTAGTTAGAAACAAAATGTATGAAGTACAAAATTTACTATTGTATAATATTTAGATTGAATTTTATATTATTTTTATATCTATTAATTGCGTGATTTTTGAGTACGTAAAGTTTCCTTATTGTAATTTACGTAATGATTATATCACTATCAATTAACAATATTTACGAATTAATAATTTATTTTATTTTCCGTAAACAATTATATCATAACGCTAATTACCTTTATCGTAACCGGGGGCTGCTTTACACGAAAATCCACAACATTCACCACAATTTTTCATTTTAGATTTTTATCACAGTTATATAATCTTTGGCAATAAACTTCACTGAAACAGTTCAATATATTTTTCACTAACACTAAAACATATAATTCTTAAATGGGATCTGCCACTGTTCAGGGCTCGGTCGGCTGCGTTCAGCCGCTTTACTTGTAATGTGTGTCCTGTACAGATTTCTACGGCTTTTATGTAACGTCGGTCCCGTGATAAAGGGTGCAAAAAACCGATTGTTTGCTGGAGGGCCAGTGACGTCACAGATTTGACGTCGCCCGAGCACACCGCGTAAAACGACAGATGCTCTTACGCAAGCCATAACCAAATAAACAGCATGTGTTCATATATCCTGGAGCGGTGTGAAAAATCTATCACCCGTTACATATCGACCTGTATTAAGTTTTTTTCTTCGTTTCAGTATATCCACTGTATCTCTTCTATTATGCCAGCAATTATGATCGTACAACGGTATGTTCATGATATTATATATAAACTATAAATAGATAACCTTTTTTTGTTATTTCTTGTATCAGATCATTGCTTTTCATAAATCTTATCGAAGGTCGAAATTTTGTAATGGCGTGTATTATGGTGCTGTCTTACACGCCATTAGCAAAGTAATACAAAAATTTTTCGTTACCATCATTCGAATATAAATCATAAATCATTGTGATAAGGATCAATATCGAAGCGATTTGGATCGCAGGTGTTACAGATTAAACGATGTGTTTGAAACTTCAAACGTTGTTCCAAAATAAAGAGTACTGAAACCGAAAAGTAGATAACATATAGACGCTATGCAGAAGCAGTGACGCCATCTTTATATTCAATGTTTGTTCTAAATCTTCTAATTCTAAGCCACAGCTTCTAATTAATCACAAAGTGGGACAGTACGGAAGCTTTGTTGTAAAAAAATACTGCAGTGGGGTGTAGCTTGGTCTTGCTATCCGCCTCTTAGAGAGCCGCCTCTACATCTGTATCCCTAAATAATCTCATATGATTGGTCGCTTTAAATAAGCCCTTCGCCTATTACACACAGTGTGTTGAAAATTTCGCTTTAAACATAGCAGATTGCGTCTGATAATGTTCAGAAGCAAGTGTTGCTAGAACATTTTATTGCTTACTATTTACGTTCGTAGTGTGTTGATGTCTGGTATTAATGGTTTATTAATTTCTGTTGTATATAAAGCGAGGTTAAATTATGATGTTAATTAAAATTATGGGGATAGTTCACCATCAATTATGATGAGAACTAAAGTTAAATATAATACTAAAGTAACCGAAAAGAATCGCGTAATCTGAAAAATTCCAACGAAATCAGTTATTATTACTATTTTAATAGATAATTAATAAGAAAAAAACATATTTGAATAATTCACATAATTAAAAAAAATAATTAAATCTATTGAAATAAATTTTTAAATTTTAAAAAGAAATTTCTAAATATTGCCAACCTGTGAATTTAATAATGTTTGCTATAATTCTTGAGTCGCGATAAAAAAACACGAATAGTTATTGTTTTATAAAACCGGATATTGATCATAATAATAAAATAGAGTATAGAAACTCAGATTTGAAATTATATTTCTAAGCCAGTACATTAAATGACAGCATCACTTGTTTCCCACAATAATAAACTAGACAAAGTGTTCTTCGATAACAAATAAACCGTTCATAATTATAAAACTACGGTTCCGTCATATTATTAATATATTAAAAAATATAATAGTTATTTTCATATTATTCCGAATTGAGAAACTAACTATAACATCTATAAATGAAAATCGTTCCGGGATTCTACAAAAAATATTTTTTTAAACAAAAAAAAAACACTCCGGGCTTTCTTAACTGCATCACGCAATGCTAATTAAAATCAAAGGTTATTTTAATTTATATGCATACAACTGATATCATGGGAATATTCGATACTGACGTTATATTTCAGCGAATTACAGGTCGGTGAAAACCCTATGATATGTCGACTCATTGAAATCCGCGTTTCATAGTGTTGTTAACACCATTATGATCCGTGTTTCATTGGGATGAGGTTTATATAAATAAAAATTGACTTACAATTGAGAAACACATTGAAAAATTTAAATTCATTAACGGATATGATAGTAATATTCCACATTTTCCTCATACAACTTCCCAAGAAATGCTATAGAATACTAATATAAAAAAAAAATCAAAAAGATATGCCGCTCAAAATGTTTTCGGATCATTCACAAATAACAACCAGACAGAATATTACGAAACGTCAGGAACCTTCTATTTTGAATTAGCGTTTGATTTATGTTGAGAGCTTAAAAATTACATACGACCTTACAAAACTTTGATGACTAACGGTGGCATTCGCTGAACGAGACTTAGGTATTCGTTAGAGAGGAAATGCCGTTACTGTCATACAGTTATGAATTGTCAATTCTTTCAAAACTATATTTTTTTTTATTCATGTGACGTAATAGATAGATATAGAACAAGAGTTGGATCCTTGTCGAAATAGTGATATGGTATTAATCTATCATCGATCGCTCAAATGGAATTGTAGAACGTCCGTGAATACACGGTACACATTGAAAACATTGTGCAATAACAAAACGACAAAGGCTCATTTGAATAGAAAAGTGCAGTGATTATTCTAATGATTGTTTAATTTAACCGGAATAACTGGACAGTCTAATTAAAACGTTTTTAATATGGTGCATCGCTCTCACGGTTCTTCTCTAACCTTGAAATGGTAAATAGATATATCTACAAATACAAAAAAAAAAAACAAAAGAAAGACAAGTCAGACCTTTTTGGTTAATTTTTAATTAATTTTTATTTAATTTTTAAAAATATCATCTGTCAAACTGTTTGTAACTATACGTATGTGGTAATTCAGGAATGTCATATTTCTAAATATATATGGTATTTCGTAATGTAGGTTATTTTCCGGTAACATATTATATTAAAGGAAAACATATATATAATTTTATAAGTCATATAATAAAACATATAATTGTTTATCACATAAACAATAGGATATCCCCTTTTCCTCCATTAAAGTCTTATGTGAGCGCCATCATAATTACATGAAGTAGATTATGAAAATTTTGTGTTAATTGACTATTAAATGTTACAAATAAAGTGTTAAGACTCGTAAGTTTATTACTGAAGTATTTGCCGAGATAAAACTAATGGGATACATTTGATTTCGCATTTTAAAACGTCATTATAGTTTTTATATAGAATATAATGCAAGAATTATTAGTTTCACACGTATCTATCTAACATAAACATTATATAAAGCGACATATACACTGTAAAAAAGCTGCCTTCACACGACAGAACGCTAATGATCTTAGCCACCGTTTAATACTCAACTTACCTGTATTTCCCGTTTCCTGATCGTTACGTGAAATTATACGATTCAAATACCAATGCCTCTGTGCCATCACGACACCATTGTAATCTATTAATTGGTTTCTAAGATTTTCTCGTATCATGTCAATATTGAAGGCTAAAATTAATATAATAAATATATGTTTACTGTCTTTCTATGTTTAAATGACGGATATACCTACGTATTTTTTTATATCCGGATTTAATTATAAGGTTATTTTTGTTTTATTATTATTTAATAATTATAAGGCTCATAGGTATTTTTAAACAAATAAAGTAAACTGTTCTCAAAAATTAATGTATTTAAATCAAATTTCGCTTATATTTAACTAAGTTAAATAACTTTTTAGTGATGGAAGCATTTCAATAATTCTTGATTAAAATTGTATTGATGTAGACTTTTAAACGCTTTGTCAAACAAAAGACTAACAGCTCTTAGAGACAAAAATATATTAAATTCTTCACTCGAACACAATCAGATTCTCTCTTTTTGCAATACATTTTTAATAGTTTACTCATAAATAATCAATTTACTATATTTTGTTCAACCATATGTTGAAAAATATTTAATTAATTATTACAACATATTCACAATAAAATGGTTCTAATACCACATATGGGTTATCCTCATGTTTTCATTAATTAAGGAACATTAAGGATTCTCAGAAATGCGAAAAGAATAGAGAAAAATCACTAAGATAAGGAAGCAGAGAGATACTTAAGAAATATACGGGCTTTAATATCAAGTAAGCAATTTATTAAAACTCATTAATGACGAAAACAATTAAGCCTTTAATTTAATTTTCCTTTTCGCTTTTTTTGATAATGTATATTTGATTTAGGAATTATTAGGAAGTATGAAAATTGCAGTAACATTGTGTCTTTGTATAAATTTTTAAAACAAATCGTAATTATAGTTATATTGAAAAAAATAAATTATATTCAATTTCAACTCAAAGTTCAATTCAACACAGAAATATTATATATCTTTTACAATATTCATAGTGCGAGATCAGGCAGAACAAGAATTGTCTTATGTCCAGGATCTAATGCGTGGGCGAAGGGCTGTGTTGCAGACTTCCGCGCTATAGATAACAACATTGCTGGGATTACACACACAGACACAGACACACACACATATAAATTTATATATAAATAAATATATATATAAATATATAAATGGTATTGTTAGATATTGAGGTCTAAGATTTTCGCGAGTTATATTTATTTATACGAAACTAATATTTTTTGGATTATACTACGCGATTTTATTTTTGTAAAAAAACTACATACTCCCAAAGTTTGGGGTATTTTTCAGCAACCGTGATCACTGGCAGACGAGATGAGTATACAGAAGTTTTTTTACAAAAATATTAGTTCCATTGTTAAATATTATTCTTGTAGTAGTAGGATAAGTTGGAATATATAATATTAGGAACGATTAAAAACTTTATTTTCATATAAAAAAATCTATTTTCGAATTACTTACAACCTTTATTTATTTTAAATTAAATGAAACTGCTGTTATAATACAAAGTTTTATGAGCTAAGTTATTTTTTAGATGACATGGACTGTAATAATTCATATAAATATTTTAAATTAGGTCCAACATTATCTAACC